TGAACAAAGGCTCAGATGAAGGAGGCTGCTTTTTGGTGGCAGTGCTGATGTGGGGCACTGATGGGGTAACTTCCTGGAGCTCTTGGCACCCTGACTGGAGTCTCTGCCTACAGGGTTACCCCATCCTGTGGCAGCTGAGCTGTGGCTCAGACAGTGTGCTTGGGACAGAGCTGACCTCGAACCACTGCTGAAACACCAGAGGAGCAAATGTTCTGCGCCCGCATTTTGTGGTCTCCAAAGAATTTTGTTTCATGATTCTTTTGTTTTCCTTCCCGCAAGTTAACCAAGGCATCTGGCAGCTGCCTTGCAAAGTCAGCAAGAACATTTCTGTTTTCTCTTTGCTGCTGGCAAAGTCTCAAATTTGAGTGTGTTCTCAACCTCAACTGTGCTTTTGGAAGTTTTCCTAAACACAAAGAGGGCTGCTAAAAGACCAAGAGTCTTCAGGCATGAAATTCTACACCAGGAGGCTGGAAGCAAGGCTATTCAAATGAAAACACTAGGAGACCAGAAAAAGACATTCTTATGTGTGGGGCACTTATAAACCCAGAAGAGAAGTTAATAAATAGCTAGCAATAAAACTATATCAAACATGGATCAAAAACCCCCCAAAAAACAAAACAAAAAAAACAGATTGCCAAAATACCATGTGTAGAATGACCCCATTTTAGTAAATACAGGCTACGTAAAAATGTTCAGACTGTTCATTGTTTGCTCACTATGTGCCAGTCACTTTGTTAACTGCTTTACATACAGAACTTTATTTTTTACAGATTACAAAATCCCAGTGAAGCAGTTCTTACGACCCCCATATTACAGATGAGAAAATGGAAACTCGTGGAGGTTCTAACTTGACTGAACTTGACCAGTCACATTGATAATATGTGGGGAAAGCCCATGATCCATTAGAATATTTTGGGCCATTACTATATATATCTTCAAAGATAAATCATATTAGTTAGTGAAGGATAATGAGTGATTTTTATTTTCTTCATTTTGCTATGTATATTCTGTAATAATTTCTCACTAATGACTATCTTTGTTAACAGAAAGTCATTTTTTGAGTGAGAAACTTATACTAAATATAGTTTTCCCTCACTATGCGGAAGTAGAGGGTTCCTATGAAACCTTTCCCAAGCTGAAATGGTGTTGAAGAAGAAATGATTACCATTAATTTATACGAGAAAATTTTTGAGCCTTCCCAGTCACAAAAATTAACATTTCTTAGCCTTTTCTGATACCTTAGGACACATTTTGCTAATGGATGCACAAACTAAATGGAGATAAAGCGCAGATGCTCACGGACAAAGTTCAAGGCTACAGCAGCCTGATGCTGAGATGCTGAGTGTAGTTCCAGGGGAGGAGCTTGGTGGCGCCACTCTCCCTGCTCAATGTGCACTGTCTTTATGCTATTTTCACTAACCCTTTTTTGGGTAAAAGTGAAAATCCTCTTTCGATTTCCTTTGCTTAGTGAAAACAGGTACTAATAATGTATGTCTTTGGTGTAAGTGAAGTGAGGTAACGTGAACTTTTGAAAAGTGAGGGAAACTGTACCAAATAGTTTATGAGTTAAATATGGTTACTCATAAGGATGATTTAAAAAGTTTTGAGACAATTCTCCTTATTTTGTTTCTGAAGTTATGAAGACTTCTGCATTAGTTTGCAAAGGCTTGCAAAACAAATACCATGGGCGGTTCGGCTTAAACAATAGAAATTAATTTTCCCACAGTTCTGGAAGCCAGAAGTCCAAGATCAAGGTATTTGCCAGGTTGGTTTCTTCTGAGGGCCATGGTCTTTGCTTAACAGCTGGCCATCTTCCTCCTGTGTCTTCACACGGTCTGTCCTCTGTGGGGCCTGTGGGTGCCCCAGTCCTGTTGAACAGGCTGCCCATATGATCTCATTTTACTTTACCTCTTTAAAGCCATAGAGGGTTGGGTGATTTGCCCAAAGTCATACAATTAGTAAGTTGCCTCACACATGTCAGCTGTGCTCTATAAACTTTGTTCTCAGCCACTCCTATAATGTAATCAGCTGTGATCTCTGATTTTAGAGGGGGAGACAGATAATTAACAAATGTGTATTATTTGTATTATGGTATAAGTTGTGCCATCGATTGAAGTAAGATGAGGTGACAGAGTACCTGCACAACTCTAGAAGCAAAGCCTTTCTGAGGAGAGGACATGTGAACTGAAGCCTGAACTATATAGCTTAGCGCAGGGGGTAAGAGCAGGCACTTTGGAGCTACCTTCTCCGCTTACTACCTTTGGGACCTTGGACACATTACTGTGGTAAAAAACATATTTGAACTATTTTTAAGTGTACAGATCAGCAATGTTAAGTATATTAATTCTATTGTTGTGACCCACAACATATTTTTTGTGAGTTTGCAGGATGGGAAGATTGCTTGGAAGACCTTTCTCTCCAAAGTGCAAGATCCTGGTCTCAGGCGAGTCTGAGCTGATCATTCAGGCTGAGGTCATGGGCACCCTCCTGCGGCCCCTGATCTCAGAGCTCATGAGACACGTGCCCCGGTGGCACCTTGGTGACATCGGAGATGCTGGACCTACCACTGTAATCCCAGCATCTCACAAGGTGTGATTGCCCAACTGATGCTTGATTCTTTACAAACAAATAAATGAAGGAAGGAATAAATGATTGAAGGAATACAGACAGTTGTGTTGCTAAGCAACTTTTACCTCCTTATGAAGACTCAGCTTTCCTGGTGTCACTAGTGGACTAAATGGTATTTTTTGCAGAAGTACAGAATGGCCAATGTGCATCCTCCAAGGGCTTGAGAATGCCAGAGAGATTGATTGCAAGATGCTTCCTGGAGCTTTCTTCAGAAAAATAAGGAAAAGAAACATATTGTTCTCCCTCTTTGTATGCTTCTAACTGCTAGGTATAAATTTTTTCTCATACTTTCCAGGAAACCTCGCCCTTGGACTAATATCAAGAAAACGCCAGGCTTTTCTCAGAGCAAATGCAAGTAAGATTTTAAGTAAGTCTTCAGCTCCAAGGGACACTGTGTGTACCTTACACCACAGTGTAGGGTTACCTGGCCCTGGGCCTGAGGGGCTGCGGCCGGGCACTGCCATGGGAACCCAGGACCGTGGGACTCTGCCGGGAAGCCAGTCACAGTGTCTCCCCCAGGCGGTGGCCCTGCTGCGCACACCCTTCCCCGACTCAGCAGAACCTTCCTAAGACTCTTGACTCTTCCTTGTTTTAGCCACTTCTTTACTTTTCATAGTGACCCTAAGCTGAATTACTTTAGGGAAAAAAAAACTGGCTCCCTTTTCTCAGGACAACAAACTATACATAATAGCAATTGCGGTCACCCAGATGGCAAGGTGTGCATTTTGAGTTTCCCTTAAAAGCTAAGAGGGTAGATGAATGTGAGTTTGGCAAGAATCTTAGAACAACACTTGAAATGGAGTTTGGCCCTTGCCCCAACCCCAAACTATTCTGGCCAAGTGTATAAATGGCCCCTCCAGCTTCCCTTTGGAGTCTGTGGGCACCTGTGAGAAACTGGGCTATAGTTGACAAGGCAGAGATTGGCTTTTGGAGAAGCTTTTTGGATTATCGGCTACACGCTGCCACTCTGATTGTCCTCCAATCCATTCCTCACTGTGCAGTGATCCTGAAAATATAAATCTGATCGTTTCACACACACTCCCCGAAGGTCAGCACGGTCTGGCCCCTGCGCACGTCTCCTGTGTGGGCACTTAGCCTCTGCTCCAGCTCCCCAGGCTTTTGTCTCACCCTTCTCTCTGCCGTGTCCCCTCCCACCGAAGGCCTTCGCGCAGGCTCTTCGGACCTGCCCTGATGGCATCTGATGAACTCCCGCAGTTCTTTGGGGTTGTGGTTCCGTTGTTCCCTCATCAGGGAAGCTTTCACCAACTCTACGAACCTGCTGCTGTCCTTTTCTAGTTTGTCACTTAGCACTTGTTGACATTTGTTCTACCACTAGGCTATTAGCTCTGCGAGGGGAGAGATGGGTTTTCCTCTACTTTTTTGATTTTGCTTGCTGATATATAGCCAGTGCTTAGAATAATGTCGGCACTTAGATACTCAATGAGTATGTGTTGAGTTAATAAGAAGCACATCCTAAGGACATGGCCAAGACACTACAAATGTGTGTCTTCCCTTCCTGGGATTTTTGCATGCTTTTAATTTTTATACCACTTCTGGATAATAAGGTATAATTCTGACACCCATCCCTCACACCACCAAGCAATTCTCTGATACCAGCTGGGTGTCCTGCAGTTTCACTCAATTCTGACGCTATCTACAGGGAGATGGTGTCAGATCTCACAGGTTAAGGGCTCAGTCCTACAAGATTGCTCCTTGCCCCACCCTGGCTTCAGACAGAAATCCCAAGTCCAGGTTGTCACTGTGTCTCTCACCAACCAGCTATAGATGGGATATCCCAGTGACCCCCCACTTTGGGTTCGATTAATTTGCAAGCAGGGCTTGCAGAACTCAGAGAAGCATTTTACTTTCCAGGTTACCTGTTGATTATAAAAGGATATAACTCAAGAACAGCCAGATAGAAGAGATGCAGAGGGCAGGGTTGAGGAAACAGGCAGGGACCTGTCACCTACAGGCTAATCTGTGCAAGTGAAGAGGAGGGCAGGACCCAAACAGCCCACCATGGACATTTTCTATTCCAGGCTAACCTCTGTTTATAGTCTGAAGAAAGTGTGTATTTATAGCTAATGTTACTGTTAAAATCTATGTTCAATTAGTAGTCTTTCAAAACTTGCCATTGATAAAGAGTATCAGTTCTACAGTAGCCAAAAGCTAAAGAAAAAGAAAAAAAAGCTTATTATGTGGATAATTTCACAAAAACCTCAGCTATGTAACTCATTAAGCGAATTCCTTAGTTTTAAAGAATCTGGCCACAAAGTACAACAGGAAATGTGAGAGAACAACTTTTCAAATATTTTGGCAGTTAAAAAATTCCTGAACAAACCAGTGTTGTATTTATTGAGTGGCCCCTGCACACAGAAAACTGGGCCAAGCAGAAAGTATCACACAGTGCGCCTGCAGCTTGTTATTTAACTGCAGTTAGGAAATAAAAGTTTAATAACAGTACAGAAATTACACAGCAGTAGAAGAAACTTAAGGCTTCCATGTGTCTAATGCAAAGTCCAAAACAGTGTTCGCAGGGCACTTTGAGAAGGGTGATTGCACAGTGGGCCCTTGGGACTTAAGTTGGGGTTTGAAGTAACGAGAGCAGCTAACACTTAGTGAGCACTTACTAAGTCAAGCATAGTGCTAGGTGCTCACACATATTTTCTTATTCAATTCCCACAATAAAGTGGTACAGAAACCTGACCACAGCAGCATAAGCAAGCTGAGACTTATTTTTCCTCACATCATAAAAGATCCAGGGACGGCTGGCAGTGGGGGCAGATGCAGGCACTTGAGAAGTCACCGAGTTCCCTCCTCCTTCCAGCGGGCTGCTCTGCCAGGCTGTGGGCGTGGTTTCCATCCCCTGCTGTAAGGTGGCAGGGCCACTGCAGCATTGCTTGGGCCTTCTGGTAGAAAGACAAAGAAAACAAAGAAATGCTAATAAATGGAAAGGAAAACCTCCCTAGGGGGTCCCCAGCAGACCACCCCATTGGCTCAAATTGCAGGACAGCTGAGAAAGGGAGGTTAAAAAAATTTTTTTTCTTAGTCTGAGCATAAAGCCGCTTGAAAACTTTGGAGCTGAAGGAGAAGGAAGCTACTGGATATTGGATAGGCAGTTGGCAGCGCCTCTGCAGAGAGCACTGCCCTTATTCTCATTTTACACATGAGGAAACCTAAGTATGGAGGGGTAAGTAAGTTGCACAAGGTCATACAGGTAATACATAGAAAAGCTGGACGCAAACACAGGCAATCTGATTCCAGGGCCTGAACTTCTCACCCCGTGCTCGGATTCAAGCTGGAGCGTAGATGGCAAGGCCCTCTGGGCAGGGAGATGGTGTCCATGCAGGTGCCGCGGTGCACTGCGCAGGGGTGGGAGTAAGGCAGGAAAGGTGCTTTGGGCTCATTCCACTGGCCTGGGTAAGCCTTCAGGGTTATGAGCCTTGCAGGTCTTGAGGCTGAAATAATGATAATGATAATAATTATAAACAAGCAGGTTCTGGCAAGAAGTGAAAACCTTGTCCAGAGAGCAAAAGCTCAGTCAATGAATATGACCAAGGTCGGAACCCTGGGAGGTGTCAGCTGTGAGCACAGACAGGACCCTCGGCCAGTGGCAGATCCAGGGCTGAAGCTGGTACACACTAAGGAGCGGCAGCCATGGTCGGGTCCAGGCTACAGGAGCGGGAGGCCAGGGTCTGGGTTCGATGGTTTGGGGTCAGAGAGCTGAAGAACCGGAAACCTGGAATATGACATACCTAGGCCCTGATGGGCTTTATAGCAATATTTGTACATGTCAACACCTTTGAAACATTACTGACACATTACTTAGCAATAGGTTTTAGTATCTATAGTTAGACACTTAACATTTAAGAGGATGTGATAAACCCAGACTGTTAGAGCACCCGGGCAAGAGAGAGATGCTTCCACTGGAACTTACTACTTTCAGAGGTTAGCTTACCTTTTGTTACTTCACAGGGTAACTGGATGGGAACACAAAAGAAGAAGGTAGAATTTGTAAGGAGAGAGACATGTAAAGTGGCTAACCACAGCAGGTTCAGACGGTAGGCTTTCCTGGGTAGCTCCTGGGCGCAGAGCTTGCACAGCAATGGCTCAGGTTCGTGTAAGGAGATTTACTAATGGTGTGCGAGGCTCGGCAAGAGAACGTACCGCCTCCCTGAGGGGTGAGCTTTCCAGATTGGTAGTGTTTAAGCAGAACCTAGAAGATAGTTAAGGAGAGAGGTCTCAGAATTGTTTCCTGCGTGGAGTTTGAGGACTTCAAATCTACATTTTTATGATTGTACAGCATGCTCATCTGAAGTCAGTCTGAATCTAAGGCTCCAAGGAGTGATCCGAGAGCATGCTGTACTGGGGTGGCTGTCAGCCCCATAGGAGGAGCAGCTTTGCAGAGCCTTCTGCCTCCCTTTCTCCAATTGAAAAAGACTAGCAGTTAACGACTTTTGGAAAAATAGTTATAAAGACATTTCTCCAGCAGCCATGAGAATGGATTTCAATTTTAGGTGCTATGCATTTACTTGAACATACCAAGCCTCAGCATGCATGTGTCTAGCCTTAAAACAAAACACACATACACACATTATATATGTGCATACACATTTATGAAGAAAAATATATTCATGTTTATTGTAGCAGTTGAACTCTCGAACTTTGGAACTTGAGTTTGAATCCCGGCTCCTCTGCTTTCTAGAGCCAAATCTGAAGCAAACATCTGTTTGCTTTAGGTTTTTCACCTATAAAGCAAGAGCAATAGGCTGTTGTGAGGAGTAAATGAGCTATTACCTATAAAGACTTAGGGTCATGGCTGCCGTGTAATAAATGATAGCCATTATTAGTGTAGACATTTTAGAAAAAAAACATGTGAGTACAAAGAACTAAAAATCAGCCTTGTACTACTGAAGGAGAACCACTGTGAATTCTGGGTATATCTTCCCAGTCTTTCTTCAGGTGCTCATCTGTTTATTCTCACTCCGGACTCATGCACCAGTAACTGGAGTTTCCATGCATGTGCAAATGCTTAAATGCACACACATGCACATGCATACATCACACACAGACTTCTTTATGTTTCTTGTAAAGGTTAGCATATGTGCCTTAATGGGTAGGTAATCCTGCACAAACATGTATTCAGGATTGAACTATGCACTAAGAGGTCAAAACTTGTTTTAATAGTTATCATGTAGCCTTTTTCAAAAAGAACAAATATTTTGCCATTTTCCCACTCTTTAATCAGGGAAAGTACATACTCTACTATTGGTTGCTGCATTTGAATATTTATATTTTTAAGTTACACAAACATGGAAACTCTTATAGCTGAAACAGATGTCTTATTTACATAGCCTGTGTCTCATTTCAAAAGGCAAAATGAATAGATCACTGGCCTAATGGTAATTAGTGATGAGTTGCCAGTACTGTGCAAGTAGCCGACACAGCACTTTTCCCAGCTTCATCCTCCTGCCTTCTTCTCCTTCCTTCCCCATGTAGAGAAGTCATTTTATCTAACCTGGGCCTCTGCTCCCTTATTTGTCATTGAGGGGAATGAATTGGCCCAAGATGATTGCTCCCTTCTCTGGAGTTTGTGGTTCTAGGAGACAATCCATTCAGCCCTAACTTTGGGAGCCCTCACCTCCTGGGCTAGGCAGTTCACTTGCACAGGAAAAATATAATAGACAAGGGCCATTTATTAGAAAATACAAGAATAGGAACCAGAAATGCTATTTTAGATTTTGGGAAAACTAGAAGGGACACTTGAGAAGAGAGTCCATAAAATCCACTCCAAATACCAGTTTGAACACTGGCATTGGATTGATAAATGTTATTATAATGAAAAGTAATTGCCAGATTTGCCAGAAATATTCTTTTTTAAGGAAATGGCTTTCTAAAAGTCAGCAGACCCACAGAAAGAGTCCTTGATCAAACCCACACATTTAGTTGGGCTGCAGGGTAAGTCCGAGACATCAGCTTGCATTTTCTCCCAGAGGACTGGAGACCCACCCTCCCAATAGTTCAGCGCAGATGTCCTGAGTCAGGATACCGCTTTCCCATGCTCTCTCGCCTAAGGAGCTGTGCTTGACTCACCCCCCCTTTACCCCTCTGTAAGTACAAAAGCTTGTGTGTGTTAGAGCCCAGATACAGCCAGACAGTGTCATGTGGATTGCATTCCAACACACAAAAAAATGTTTCATCGAAGCTTAAACTAATGGAAAACTCGTGTGCTAACATTTTAAAAGATAAATTAAAAATAAGTTAATAGAACCTTGGTTTTTTAGCATACATGATTCTTCAAATGGCATCATAATGTCAAAAATTCAGTGTTAATTAAAATACTTTAAAAAGTAGCTGAAATATTTTAATCTCTATTTTCTCAAACACTGAATGTTTTGAAAACAATTAGTATTAACCTCATTGTTTAAAAAAACAATCATGCTTTTGTAAAAAAAAAACCCTGTCAAAATTCTACCAACTAGCATATGTGTTAAATACATACGCACCTGGTTTTGCTGTCAGTCAAAACACAAATGGCACAAATGGAATACTCTGCAAATACAGGTAGTTCACTAATTCAGGGGATTAATGGCCTCTGTGGGCCATTTGATATCTCTTATGCTTCTTGCATGTTGATGCCAACACTGGGTGTTACCCTTGAGGAGCTCCAGGCATTCCCTCTGGTATTGACAAAATTAAAAAAAATAACATCCTATTTGAAGCAAAAATTCTTCTGATGTTTGTTACTCTCTGGATGTGCTAGTTCCACATGAAATCTGGCACTGTAGACACTTCTTAGCTGCATTTACATTTGATCTATCAAATGGGTCTCAAATATGTAAACTTGTGAGTTTGAAGAACAGTTCCTTTCAAAGTATATTTCAGTTTTATATAAATCTGAAAGGATCAAATTAGTCCTTATCTAATCGAAGCTGCTATTTCCATGCCTTCCTCTGCCCATTGTTCTTGTTTATCTTATCTATCCTGAAAACATCTTGCTTTTTCCCGGGCATCCCTTGCATCCTCAGTAGCTTATTTTTCAACATGGCTCCTCCAGCGGATATTATATTTGGTATAATGCACAGCATGAGGTCTAGGGCACCTTCTTGTACATGCAAGGGGAAGGAAGAATAATTTAGGTCAAAGGCATATTCCCTCAAATACTGGGAAAGTCTTCATTTCCCTTTGCATGTAAAACACCTCCTAACAATGAAGCTAAGTTTAATATTTCACATAGACCTCTTATGTAGTAATAATAGTCTTTCACTTTATGATATTTTGAGACATCAGTATTTTACAAATGTAATGGATGAGCCCATATTGTTGCCTGTAATAGCCAATAAATTGATTTATAAAATCACAGTTCATAGCCCTTCTTTCTTTTAAGTATACTGTAGACCACAGAGTCATAGGGTTCCATTTGCCATGAAATTACATACTACCCATAAAAAGGTGAGAATGCTTATTAAAAACATAGATTTACTATATGCATAAACATTTGGAAACAAATAATAAGGATGCAGATGAGACAGAATGATGAGAGCTAGATTCTTGGCTCCAGGTTTGAAAGTTGTTAGAGATAAGATCAAGAAGATAAAGTTCAACTTGACAGGATACAGTCAGTAATTTTTATAAAAAATTTTTCTCACTTTTTTTTGGAATAAAGTTGTTATACAGTATTATATTGGTTTCAGATGCACAACATAGTGACTTGATAGTTATATGTATTACTAGATGCTTGCCCTGGCAAGTGTAGTTCCCCTTACCAAGATGTCACCATACCAAGATCACAATACATTGGTTATATCCTCTGTTGTACTTCCATTCCTATGACTAACCTATTTTACAATTCACAGTTTGTATCTCCTTCACCTCTTTCCTAGTCAGTCGTCTTACTGTTCAATAGTGTGGCAGTGGCTGGAGAAACTTGTCAGGAGATTTTAATCATTCACACAAATTGGGACAGAACAACTTTCTAAGGCAGTGCTTTGGTCAGGTTTGCTGAGTGTAAAATCAATGATAAATTGCCTGTTGCACTTGCTTGAGAGTGTACCAACCTACAGGGCTAGGTTACAATGCTCCTTTTTGCATTTCCAAGGTTCCAACAGTATCTTGCGCACCCAGTCATCCTAGACACTGTCACACTGTAGAGAATTTTTCTGCTTACTTGTATGTCTACATTCTTAAATTTTAAGATCTCTGAGAACAAGGGAATTCAGCATTGCAACTACCAGGAGTACCTAAAACTGTTTGCTGGATTTTGTCTGATTTATTTGATTTAATGTAATTTGACTTAATACCCAGTAAAGGTCTGTTGAAAAATTCCGCTTTCTTAAAGATGCTGAGAGGTCCCGGTTGCCGAGCACAGGAGAGGTTGATGAGAATGGATTTCCTTTCAAACACCACAAGCTCCCTATCTTTCCTTTTGCCATCTTGGGTTTTAGACATATACACCAGCCTGGACACACACACCCTGGGTACTTTGCTTTGGAAGTAGCTGCACACTTGGAATCCTTCCGGGGCAGGAGGCAGCTGCTGAGCCACATGAAAAAGAATGGGGTGTTGGTGAAATACCGGATTTCCGGCTGCAGACAGACCCCAGGTGACTATTTAAACTTGTCAAGAAAATGAACTACAGGGAAGACTATCTGCTTTACACAAACATTTTTCACACGATTCTTTCAAAAAGCAAGTATGTGTCTTTTTTACCCTGGCGAGAAATTAAGCATTTAACTGGGTTTTCAAAGGGATCTGGGACCCAAAATGGGACCTCAAATACCTCCTGCGTAGTGTGAGTCAAGTGAATTTGGCTTTCAAATGCCAAGTTTCTAATCTGATAATAAATTTCTTTTCAAGAAGGATACCATCTGAGTCTCTCTGTACTTCCTGCGCCTGGTACAACAGTACCCAGAACACAGAAGTCAATCGGGGTGTGTTTGGACAACATGCACGGTAGTAAAAGCAGGGCTTGCCTGCAAACCATCGCTACCAGGGATGACATCCTCTCACCGTGCTCTCTGCCTTACTCATCACAGTTAGTGGGGCAAATGTACCTTTTTCTGAAAGACTAGGAATTTTTTATTTTATTTGTACATTTTGAAATTTGCTTGAGAATTCAGTTGTCCAACTACTACCAGTAGTTTTGTCTGTTTGGTACTTATCGTTGTAAAGATTTTAATTTGATCTAAAAAATTCTGTGAGATACAGATAGCTCTTCCAGGCAGCAGGATTTCTGTGATAATAAAAGTGGGGCCTGGTTTCCCTCAGATAGGAGACATATTTAAAAAATTTCTTTCCTTAAGTGAAAAAGAGCAGAGGTCGAGAGCCCACATGGATTCCAGTTTTAAATACAGCAAAACTGTCTAATCAGGTCTGTAACAGCAGAAGACCGTTAAGACCTGAAACAACGGATGACTTTTCTGAGAAAGTTCACCCAGTTCGGGTTAGGCTAGCACCCTGGCCACTGCAGTGC